TTACGGCTGGATGCTGGCTGGGAAAAGGCAACAGAGTGGTCTCTGCCCCTTCCTGGGAGGTGCCAACTGGAACCTCGGCTTGTCCCTCCACAAGACAGCTCCAGGGCCAGACATTTCTCACACAAACACACGCTCTCACATCACCAGTGAGCGGAGCTCCCGTTACCTGTAAGTACAGTAATCCTAAAGTCGTAAGGAGGTCCGTATTTTCCGGTGAGAACCTGCAACAGAGATGCTCAGAAGGAACCCTGTGTGTGACGCACAGTGACACATGTACGCCACCTCATGCAACACCTGAGAGGCCACAGGGCTGCCTCCTTCCTGTGGAAATCCCTCACAACAGTTCAGCAGTTTCCTCCAAAAGCAGGCCTTCTCTGGCCTGGAGGCGCAGCCGCAGCAAGCTCAACTGTGGGGCTGGAAGCCAGGTGGCTGGCGGAGGGTCTGCACCCAGGCTGCCTCAAGAGCACCCTGCATGAGCACGTGTGCACCCAAGATCCTAGAGTGGAGGGGGGCGGGGGGCGGGGGGCGGGTGTGCTCGGTGAGACCCTGTCCAGGCTGCTTCTCTGTCTCTGTCTCTGGTGTGTGTGCACATGCTATCATGAAAAGACGTAGGCCATCTTAACCCTGGCTACAGAGAGGGCTGCTCCCCAAGAAAGGAAGGACACTTGGGATCCAGGCTCCTACCTCGGAGCCTTTTATTTGGGGAGAGTCCTAAGAACCTCTGGAATGTTCTGTGGCTACCCAGAGGACACGGATAAAATGAAGGAGAAACCCTCTGTAAACCAAGTTCATCGAGCACACACGGTTCAGAGTCCTCGCCGGGGGGACGTGTTTCCTTCCCTGCAGTGCTGGGTGGCACGGTCTGTGTAATGCAGGACCCCGGGGCCCAGCCCTGGGAGCCTGAGCCGTCGGCCTCGCTCCCGCCCGGGTGCCTGCCTCTGCCACACAGGTTGAGAGGACCGGGCTACAGGGTCGCCTGTCTCTCCTTTTTTTTTTTTTCTTTCAAAGAAATTATTTATTATTATTTTCATCATCATTATTACCTTCTAGTTTGAGCAGACAGAGAGGGAAGGAAAGTGAGAAAGCAAGCTACCTGGCCCAGGACTTGAACCACGGCTGGCCATGTGGGTGTCTAGTACCTTTAACCACCTGCCAGCCCCGAGGATGACCAGTTTCTACAGTCAGGGGCAAGGAACAGGGTCTCCTAGCACAGGATGAGGCAGGCTCTTACCCATGGGGAGACCAGAACCACGGGCGCCAGAGCCCAGGCAGGGAGGCCGGAGCTGGCCCAGCAGCCTTCTTGGTACAACTAAGACGCTGCCTTTCACTTTCTGCTGGAATAAAGACCCACTCCGACCCCGTCCCTCCCCAAAGCCATGCAGGAAGCTCCCGTTTCTAGCAGCATCTGCTCCCCCCCACTCCAACATGCCCACGGTCCAAAGCCACAGGTCACAGCAGCAGGCTCTACTTTCCCAAGGAGGGTCAAATGCTCCACTAGCTGTTCCTGCTTCTCCGTGGGAAAACCAAGTGACCCAAGTCCTTGGTGAGTCACAGAAAGAAGGCTCTTGGGACTCAAGTACAATGACCCCAGGGTCCAACTCCCAGAACCACAGAGGCACTTAGCACATTACACATGGTTTGCATGTGCCCACACAAACACAGCCTCTCGACAAAGGTCTCTTTTTCTTAAAATTTTAATCACGTGAATCCTGTGCTCACAGGAGAGAGACGAGAGGGAAAGTGAGAAATCACCCCGGGGGTGGCCACGCCACAACCCCTTCTCTTCCATACTCTCCTTAGGATTTTGCACATGTGCGGACACACACGGACACCCTGAGTGTTTTTCAAGCCACCAGGTCCAGGACGAACCAGTCGGCCGTGTGGGATCCAGCACCCTGATCACCTGCCACCTGCCGGCCCAACAAAGGTCCCTTGTAGCTTAACCAACCAAAGGACTTTTTTCTTTTTGTCTTTTAAAAATGTAGTTTGTGGCTGAAGGAGTGTGAGGAGCGACTGGAACTTCTGGACCATGTGAAACTCACTACTGACGCTCACCGTGCGTCTAGCCTGCCGTGCACACCCACTTGTGGCCTGGGACATGGCGTGGTTCAGTAACTCACTCAAGCCACGAACCCCAGGATGGTGAACGAGTAAGAAAGGAGCCTGGACCCTGGCTGGCCTGTGGAGCAGAGCTGCTCAGCCAACCCAGAGCAGCCACCGTGACAGGTGAGGAAGGGACATGTGGTCTGCCATCCTGAAGCCACTGGGGACCCTCGCCCTAAACCTTCGCTTGATCTTCACTGACTCACACAGCTACTGGGTTGCCAGCAAAGTCATGACGTATTTTTCCGTTTTTTTTCCTGCAAAAATGTGCCATGGCTTTTGTGCGACCCAACAGTGATGGGCACTCTCCTCTCTGACTGGGAGGTTTGCGGATCCCGACCTCCCCTCAGGTCTCTCACTGCCTGGAGGGGAGCAGACGCACTCACTCCACTGCCTTCTCGTAGACCTCGATGGCCTTGTCCAGGTGTCCTTCCAGCAGGTGGATCTTGCCCAGCATGATGTAGGTCAGGTCATGCCTGTGGAGCTGGAGGGCGTGGTGCAGCTGGTCTTGTGCCTGACCGTGGGAGGGAGGGGAACTGAGTCACCAGCACTGAAAGGACCAGGTTCATACAGCTGATGTGGGACAGAGCTGCTGCCGAGCTCGCATGGGACACCCCATTTCAGCCAACACCCCGCTGCCCTTGACGACAGGAGGCTGGCAACTGGAGCTGCCTGCCTCCGGAGTCGCCCAGGGAGCTTGCACATGGGAGCGACTTCTCCTGGAGCGCTTCCTTCCTGGCAGGCTCGCGACTCACTCTGTAAGTGAAGGGGACAGCCGTGCAGTGAGGAACTTTCCTGGCGGGGCTCTCTCCCCACAGGTGACAAGCGCATGGCTATCCGGCTCACCCCCTCAGCCAGCACGCAGAGTGCCTGCTGTGCTGGGTGCCGAGCTCGAGAGCTCCAGCAGCAAGGCCCATGCTCCCAAGGAGCTTCGCTAATTCGAGAAGTGCTCACATAAATACCAGATGCCGTATCTGTTTAACCTGTCAGCCTCACAGCAAAATCGAAATCTAATTCCCCTTCTCAGAACAAGTCCGATCCCTAATCTCCCCCAGCTCAGAATCATCCTGGGAAGAGAAGGGGGCCTGCTCAAAATAGTCTCTGAGGAGGGAATGAGACCGCAGGCCCCTGCAGAACAGCTAAGGGGCCCACAGGGGCCTCACCCTCATCTCCTCGTGGCCTTCTCCCTTCTCCCATCACCCAGGAGAAGTTCTCTTACACCTCGACCGCTGATACGCACTTTTATGTCCACAAAGGATACAGCACGTTAGGCCAGAGTGCAAATTGATACGGACTAAAATAAACCTTGTTAAGTGGTGGTAACCACTACCAATTCAGATTCTCAGTCCTGGTGACATTGGACGGAGGGTAAAACTTCACGGTCCCTAGGAGGAAGCTCTATGCGAGAAGCTCTGCCTAAGCCACCATCCTTACCTTCCGGAGGTAAATGCTGTCTAATCCTCAAGGTAGACTTCTTATCTTTATTTCAGTCCCAAGGGAAGCTCAAACTGTTTTCTCTGATATAAGAGCCGTTAAGGCCTATAGTTTAACCACAATGAAATACTAATTTTCATCATGGAAAATAACTCAAAATTTTAAACAGAAAATCCTCAGACATCAGATCCATATAAAATGTGAAGTCAGAGCTGGCTCACGGCACAGTAGGAAGGCCTTGAGCATGGGAGGCCGGGCCACACCCCGGCCCACTGCCCCGTCAGACAGGTGCACCAAGTGCCCGAGGGCCAATGGCTGGAGGACCAGAGAAAGGGAGTCCCAGTGTGACCAGACCCCACAGAGGAGGGTGCTCACCTCTCTCGTATGCATGTACCTGCTCTATCATGAATAAGGAAAATTTTTTAAAAATGAGTTCATTTTCAACCACCTTCAAAACTACAAGCTGGGCCCAGCAGATGGCATGATGGTTACATCACTGGATTCCCACAGAGTCAACCGCGGTTTGAGTCTCAGACCCGGCGGCTCAAAATTCACACCGGACGCATGTGTGTGCATACCCCAAATCCCGAGAGGAGAACGGAGGAGAAAGGATTGTGGCATGGCCATCCCCCCAGGGGGTGGTTTCTCACTTTGTCTCTGTCTGTCTCTCTGGCAAGCATATGCATACTATAGTAAAAACCTCTTTAAAAAAAAAAAAAAAGGCAGCTGCTGTTGGCACAGGGCAGCCCACGTGGTCCTGACTAAACCTGCAAGCCTGCGGGGGCCTGGCCGGGGCGCTGTGGGGGCATACTGAACTGCACTGCGGATTCAGACTCCCAGCCCGCAACACGCCACACGCCGGCCAGGCACACGCGAGGTCCACAGTGCCGAGGGCGCGTCTTCCCGACCTGCGTGGCCTGTCACGAGCAAAGCAAGCACACGTAAAGACGTAAGCGTCCACGTTCCGGTATTTATACCCTAATGTGCACTTGTTGCTATACTGGAAAAGTCAACCAAGAGTAAAGGAGAAGAAGAAAAAGAATTAGGCTTAACCCTCAATAATGCCAGAGTTTTATCTTATTAAAGCAAGAGGAAAAAAGATGAAGGATAACAAGAAAATTAAAATGGGATAAATGCATGAAGAATTCCAATTCCCACCCCCAAGCCCGCTGCCAGCACTGGGGTGGTGACACGCAGGGTGAGCAGGGCACCAGTGATACCCCAGCCAGCCACGGCCCCCCGCACTCCATTACCTTGTTGAACTGCTTCAGGTAAATGTAGCACACGCCCATGTTATGGCAGATCTCCTGCAGGAGAGAGGGAGAGCCCAGGGCCACTCGGTGTCAGGTCAGAAGGAGCAGCACCAGAGACGCCCCGCTAGGCCCTCAGCCTTCCCAGTGTGCACGACAGCCGGGTCGTTCCACTTCGCTTCTCCTTTCCAGGTGTCAGAGGGCACAGGCGGTCACCAGCACATGTGTGAGACAGCACCCTGCGGTGGCGTGTGCTCACATGGCCGTCCTTTGTCCCCTACCCTTCTCCACACCGTCAGGGCTCTGGGCACACGTGATGGGCACCTACGTGTTTCTCTAGCCAGGGCAGACCTGAAACTGCAGCTGGCCGTGGGGGACCGCACTCCCAACGCACAGCACTGCCCTGCTGCGTCACAGGGACTGGCCTACAGTCAACTGTTCTTAATTCTGATACACTTAACTCTACGCAGTGAGTCTTTTAATACAAAAAATGGTATGAGATACAAACAGTGGGGTTGACAGGTGGCAGGGTGGTTAAGGAGCCAGATTCCCACATGGCTGACTGTGGTTCGAGTCCCGGACCTGGACCTGGCAGCTTGCTTTCTTTCTCTCTCTCCCTCCTTCCCTATCTCTCTCTCTCTCTGTCTAGTCAAGTTAAAAAGTAAAAATTAAATTAAAAAGTTTAATTTTAATTCTTAAAAAGAATATAGAGGGGCCAGCAGGTGGCATGGTGGCTAATGGTGCTGCACTCCCACATGACCAACTGTGGGTCAAATCTCAGACCTGGCAGTTTGCTTTCTCACTCTCTCTCTATGTCCCTCTCTGGTCAAATTAAAATAAATACTTTAAAAAAAAAATAGGTATGAACAGAGGAATAGATGATCTTCCTCGATTTATGTGGTCCCCTGAGGAGTGTGCCCAGCCCATCTCTAGACCCTTCTCTGAGGGCTGCTCCCAGGCCACACGGCTGCAGAGCTCAACAGCCACGGGGCCGGCCCTGGGAGCGTACCCCACGCCAGCCGGAGCCTGACTGGGTGGCGGGCTGACCACAGCTCGCGGGCCACGCCCGTCATCTCCCGCTTCTGTAAGCGAGTCAGACTGGACAGTCACGGCCACTGCTTTGTGCAGCTCTTTAGCACTAGGACTTGAGAGGTGAGCAGTTGCGACTGTAAGAAACGGGGAAGTTTACGATACTCGGTGCCCAGGCCAGTAGGTGCCATGGCGGTTGAGGCACTGCACTCCCACATGGTACTGGCAGTTTGAGTCCTGGACCTGGTGCTCATCTGCTCACTTCCCCTCTCAGTCTCTCTGATGAGTGCATGTGCCCTACAGCAAATTAAAACATGATAATGATATATAAAATTAGATAAATAATTCTCTAGAAATTAAAAACTTACTACATGAGGCCAGTAGGTGTCGTGGTGGTTAAGGTGCTGGACCCCATGTGGCCAATGATGCAGGTCAAGCCCCAGACCTGGCGGCTTGAAGAACGAGGTGGGCACATGTATGTGAGAGCCCAAACCCGGGAGGAGAGTGGAGGGTGATGCAGCATGGCTATCTCCTGGGGGCAGGGTGATCTCTCTCTCTCTCTCTGTGTCTCTCTCATGAACACACATGCCCTGTAGCAAAACTAAAAAATACACAAACATACATACATAAATATTTTTTACTAACTGACCTTTTACATGAAGGGGACGGAGGGGAAGAGGAGGGAGAAAGAAAGACCACAAAGAAAAAAGAGACGCAAGAAAGACTGAAGGAAGGAAAAAAGACAGAAAGAAAGAGGAAAGAAAGAAAGAAAAGTCACGGAAAGAGAGAAACAAAGACAGGTGAAAGGCGAGCAGGGAAGGGGAGGGTGGAAGGAGGAAGGGGGAGGCATCCCTTCTTGGAGGCTGGGCGGTGGCACAGGGATGAAATGTGACACTGCGGCCGACCCGCATGGGAGGGTCAGGTGTGTGTCCGCAGGTCTCCCTGAGTACGCTGACACACGTGCCCGTGACCTGTGCTGCTGACACTGGCATGGCTCGCAGCACCCAGACCTTGGTGGGGTGTTTTGTCCCTCGCTCATGAAATAATTAGGCAAAAAAGGGGAAAAGAAAATCCCACGCACACACACACACACACACAAAGGCAGGAAGGGCAGGTGGAGCTCAGGTGGGGACAGAGGAATGACGCGCAGCCAGTGCCGACTGCCAACCCCGAACTCCCCAGGCAACGAGGAAGCCCAGAGCTCTGAGACAGGAGGGGGCTGCGGCAGGAACCAGAGGGCACAGCCAAGTCGGCCCCAGCTGTGAGGACGGATCAGGACACGGAGGCGGGTTAGTAAGACAGGACAGCCACGCTGAGCGGACCCTGAGCACTGCTGACAAGGACGGCCCAGAGCTCCCAACTCACCCAGTCTCTCTCATTGAGCTTGGCTGCTTCGTCGTATACTTCGGCAGCAGCCTTGTGCTTGCCCAGAAGAAATCTGTGGAAGGAATTTTCCAGAACTGTTCTTGCAGAACCTCCCTCACCCCGTGCTTTCCTCACTTTCCATCCGCAGGCCAGCGTAAAGCCCTCTCTGAGCTGGCCTGCGGGTCTGCCCGGCGGCCGTGGTGCACAACAGCAGGCATGCGTCGGCAGAAACCGCACTGCAGCTGTCCAGGGCCCCGCCTATTCTACAGCAATCTCAGTGAACGTCTCCTCTGTGTCCCAGTGTTTACATATACAGCGATCTCAGTGAACGTCTCCTCTGTGTCCCAGTGTTTACATATACAGCGATCTCAGTGAACGTCTCCTCTGTGTCCCAGTGTTTACATATACAGCGATCTCAGTGAACGTCTCCTCTGTGTCCCAGTGTTTACATATACAGCGATCTCAGTGAACGTCTCCTCTGTGTCCCAGTGTTTACATATACAGCGATCTCAGTGAACGTCTCCTCTGTGTCCCAGTGTTTACATATACAGCGATCTCAGTGAACGTCTCCTCTGTGTCCCAGTGTTTACATATACAGCGATCTCAGTGAACGTCTCCTCTGTGTCCCAGTGTTTACATATACAGCGATCTCAGTGAACGTCTCCTCTGTGTCCCAGTGTTTACATATACAGCGATCTCAGTGAACGTCTCCTCTGTGTCCCAGTGTTTACATATACAGCGATCTCAGTGAACGTCTCCTCTGTGTCCCAGTGTTTACATATACAGCGATCTCAGTGAACGTCTCCTCTGTGTCCCAGTGTTTACATATACAGCGATCTCAGTGAACGTCTCCTCTGTGTCCCAGTGTTTACATATACAGCGATCTCAGTGAACGTCTCCTCTGTGTCCCAGTGTTTACATATACAGCGATCTCAGTGAACGTCTCCTCTGTGTCCCAGTGTTTACATATACAGCGATCTCAGTGAACGTCTCCTCTGTGTCCCAGTGTTTACATATACAGCGATCTCAGTGAACGTCTCCTCTGTGTCCCAGTGTTTACATATACAGCGATCTCAGTGAACGTCTCCTCTGTGTCCCAGTGTTTACATATACAGCGATCTCAGTGAACGTCTCCTCTGTGTCCCAGTGTTTACATATACAGCGATCTCAGTGAACGTCTCCTCTGTGTTTTCCAGTGTCTACATACATACAGACCGCAAAAGAAACGGGCCAAACGACACACCACGCTAAACAAAAACTTACGTGGTGGGGCCAGCAGGTGGCATAGTGATTAAGGCACTGGACTCCCACGTGGCAGGCCACAGTTCAAGTCCTGGACCCAGGGCACCCAGTGTGCATGTCCGCCCCAGATCTCCAAAGGAGAATGGAAGAGAAGGGACTGTGGCATGGCCAACCCTCCTCGGGGGTAATTTCTCACTTTCTGTCAAAAATCTCTTAAAAAAAAAAAAAACCCACTTAAGTGGTAAATGACCTCTGATCATCGTCCATTAGGGACATGGCCTGTCTTGCCAAGACCAAGTCTCTCTCAATACTGGAGCACAGTTTGGGGAGAGGCAGGGAAAGCCAGGCTCCGTGACACGATGCAGGCATGAACAACGGCATAGGTACGGAACCGCATGGAGCATCCACAGCTCCAGAAAGGGAGTATGGACCTACCAGCCCCCAAAGACTCTGGAGATTGCTTCAATCTAGAAACCGTCAGGGCATTCACTCCACAAATACTTACTAAAAACTTACAGGAGCCTGGTGGCATAATGGCTAAGGTCCTAGGCTCTCATATGGTCAACCTAGTTCGAGTCCCAGACCCAGCAACTTAAAACTCACATCAGATGTGTGTGTGTGTATGCCCAAAATCCCGAAAGGAGAATGGAGGAGAAAGGACTGCAGTGTGGCCATAACCCCAGGGGGTGATTTCTCACTTTCTGATTTCTCATTTTCTTTCTGTCTGGCAAACACATGTACCCTACAGGAAAAAATCTCTCAAAACAAAAAAATACGGAGTCAACAAGGAGGGAGCTTCAAGTACTTCATGGGAAATGCACTTTATAAAAAATTATGATCTCAAAAGTATTTTGCACCAAAATTAACTAGTACTTTAATTTCATTTTCCATGAACTTTTTGATGTCTCCTTGTATTATGTTAATTGCTAGAACAGCAAATGAGAAAAATTCCAACATGATTAAAGCACTTAGGGCCCAAGATGTCACTATTTATGTGAAAAACAGTATCAACATTCTCTGATCGAACTAAATAGTGTTTGAAATACTCAATTCCTCAACGCCAGTTATGCATTTTCTCACATTGAAAATTAGTGGGACCAGCAGTTAGCATAATGGTTATGTCGCTGGACTGCCACATAGCTGACTGCGGTTCGCGTCCCGGACCCGGTGGCTTAAAACACACGCTGGGCACGTGTGCGTGTGTGCCCAAGACCCTGAGAGGAGAATGGAGAAGAGACTGCGGTGTGGCCATCTCCCCTGGGGGCTGATTTCTCGCTTTCTGTCTCTCTGTCTCTCTCTGTCTTTCTGGCGAGTGTACACGCCCTGTAGCAAAAACCTCTCCAAAAAAAATTAGTCCATGCTTTTCAACGTGGTCCCCATTATGGCCACGGAGCCACTTTCCCCCAGCAGCAGGCAGCACCCAAGGATGCACTTCCCACTGCTCCGGAGGGTTTGGGGCCTCCAGGGTGCTGTACTCACAGAGACCGGGCCACTTGCTTGAGGTTATCGGCACTCTGGGGGCTGAGAATAGCACATGTCTGAAAGAGCTCCAGGGACTCCTGGATGTTTCCTTCGAGACGATATATCAATGCTGACAAGAAAGAAAATACAGAAAATGAACCATGTTCCAGGAAGGGTGGAACCTGGCATCACAAAAATCGGAGGAGGAGAAGGAAATGACATCAGAAATCTGCACAGCCACATTGCAGATGGTGGTGCGTGTCAGGCATGTGTGCGTGCTTGCCCAAGATCCCGAGAGGGAGATGGAGGAGGGGGACTGTGGCGTGGCCATCCCCTCTGGGATCCTGCCCATCCCGGGCTTCCCTTCATCCCAACGCTCCTTACAGAGAGGCTCAAGGCTTTTAGCTCGCTCATCCCTCCCAGCCTGACTACAAGGAACCTTTCAGAATCTTCTTCCAGTCTGGAACTGCATGAGCAGGGACCCCAGGCAGCCATTCCCTCCACAGCACTAACACTCCTGAGTCAGACCCACACAGGCATTGTGTCTAGAGTTTAAAACAGACGGTACTGGGGCCAGCAGTTAGCGTAATGGCTATGTCGCTGGACTCCCATGTAGTCGACCATGGTTCGAGTCCCGGACCCAGTGGCTTAAACTCACACCGGGCGGGTGTGCATGCGTGCCCAAGATCCCGAGAGGAGAATGGAGGAGAAGGGATTGTGGCGTGGCCATCCCCCCGGGGGGTGATTTCTCACGTTCTATCTGTCTCTCTTTCTGGCGAGCACACGCGCCCTATAGCAAAAAACCTCTCCAAAAAATAAAAATAAAAAAAAAAACAGACGGTACGGAACTCAGCTTCTGTGGGACAGTCACTTGACCTGACGTATGGCATCGTCTGCTCTCCCCCAGAGCCTGGGCAAAGTGCACTTCTCCCGCAAGAGGAGACTGTGCTTCTTACCTTGAACATACACAGCGTATTCACACAGCCCCTGAGTCTCCTGAAGCTGTTCTTTGATAACAGCCTGAAAGAAGGAAAAACCCTCCTGAGTGGCAGGCAGGTGTCTTGACCCTTTAAAGAAATGGCAGACATGGGGGCTGGCCCCGAGGTCTGATGGTTAAGGGATCCGGATCTCCCATGGCTGACCACACGGTTTGGAAAACATGCTGGGCTGGTTCGGTGTCTGGGCCAACCCGAATACGCCGGGCGGCTGTGTGCACCTCTGACCCCCAGTGACGGGGAGGCTGGGCCAGGGTGCTAGCGGCGAGCTGAGGCTTCGTCAAAAATACCTCTCCCAGGTCTGTCTCAGGCTGGCTCAGTCCTGACATGGGAAGGCACACGGGGCACCCCTGAACCTGGCCCACGGCCTCCAGTCGAACCCAGTCAACCCATGCCCAATAGCCAGTCAAAAGGCCCACGAGAAATTAATGCATGTGTGTCTGTTGAGAGCAGCTAAAATTCTGAAGTGGCTCAGCAGCATTATCACAGCGAAAGCAAGTGAGCACACAGAGCATGGAGAGCAGGAATTCACATGTCTCAGGCGGGTAAAACCACCCACCCAGCAGCAGCCTGCACCTCACGTCCCCGTCACTGCAGCCGCTCACCTTGCAGGCTTCGTAATCCTTCCGGATGTAGTGCAGATGGATCAACCAGTTCTGCTTCTCCAAAATAGGAAACTCTGGCGCTGGGGGATTGTGACCAAACAACACATCACCCTTTGGTTCTCCGGCAGCTGTCCTCACGCCTAGACAGCCAGGAGCAGAGCCTGCTGTGCCACGGCTCGTTCTCGTGACTTACCGCCAGCTCCTCAAACGGTCACCGGGCTGAGAACAAAATCACCTTTTCTCCCCCCATTGTAGAAGACGAATAGGAAGACTTTCTAAAGGAGACTTCAGGGATATCACTAACAAAACAAATGCAGGGTTTCCAACGAGTTCATAGAGAGCCAGCCCCATAGCCTAGTGGTTACAGGAGTCAAATCCCACATAGCCGATCGTGGTTCAACTCCCAGACCTGGCAGCCACAGCATGCACACGTGTGTGTCCTCCACACCCTGACAGGATGGACAAGGGGTTGCAGCACGCCATGCCCACTGGGAGTGCTCGCCCTCCCCCACGCGCCTCTCCATCTCTTTGGCAACGTAGAGACTCTGGCAATTAAAAGAAGTTTAAGTGGGGCCAGCAGGCTGCGAGGTAGTGAGGCAGTGGACTCCTACATGGCCGATTACAGAGTCCTGGACCAGGTGGCTTCAAAATCATGCCCACTGTGCGTGCGTGCATACTCAAAATCGCAAGAGGAGGATGGAGAAGGGATTGCAGTATAGCCATCCCCAGAGCGGGTGATTTCTCACTTTCCCACTCTGTCTCTCCCTTCTCCAGCAAGTGCACGTGCCCTACAGCAAAAACTTAAAGTTTCTGTCTTGACATGAGAAGACACATGGGACGCCCTGACAGGTGTGCACCATAGTGCTTAATTCTTGGAAAGCAGCGAAGTAATTACTCTTTCTTTTTAATATGCCAGTGAGCACACACACAGCAGAGAGCGTGCACTTGTGTGTGGGTGTGCTAACTGCAATTCTTTGTCCTCCATTTCTGTCATGTCAGGATTTTAGGCATGCATGCAAACACAAGGCCAGTTTGTTTTTCAAACTGCAGGGGCTGGATTTCGAACCACAGCCCACCGTGTGAACTCTGGCTTTCCATGTGCAGCATGGGGCTGGCCCGTATGAGTGATCTTGAACCAGGGCTCAACTGCATGGTCTAACCCTCTGTTACCAACCCACGAAGAGAGAAGAGGGCACTCAACCCCTTGGAGTTTACAGTATCACCACGTATCATTGCTCCTGTGGTCGAAAGGAAGAAATCACAAATGCAGATTTTCAAGTCTTGCCTATTAAAAGTCTCTTAGTAAAAGATGAGCTTTGGGTTCCGTGGGTGAGCACTGCAGGACACACTTGACTTGTCAGGGCCGAGACTCACGAATGGAGAAGGAGGGGAAGGCGCCCCCAAGTCCAAGTGCCAGAGGGCACTCGTCTCACACTGCTGGGGACGGTGCCGAAAAGCTAAACGAACTGTAGCTTCCTCAGAGACTGAGACCACCTCAGTGCCCCACACAAAGTGACGGTTACCAAAACACCCTACTATCAAACATGTGACCTTTGGAAATCGACAGTTTCTTCACCTGTAAAATAAAAATTAAAAAAAAAAAAAAAAAAGAGCCCCCAGGACTAGGACATCCAGATAAGACAGATCCATTCGCTCACTCCCCACTCTCCACTGAGTGCCTGCCTATGCAGGAGTCCCAGGCTCTGGGGGTGCAGACGGGACAGGAAGCTTAGACGGGGTGGGGGCAGGCAGGGAAGGTGAGGCTGCTGCTGGGGAGGGAAGTGACCAGTGACGGTCTCTGTGGGAGAGGGATGGAGGGTACAGGGCAGGCGTCTGCTCTCTGGGAGTCAGGAGTCACATCCCCAAACCAAAGCGATGGCTGAACGTCTCTGTGCAGAGAGAGATCTCGACAGGGCCCGACACTCAGGAAGCCCAGAGCGGCGCCAGCTCTTGCTGTGGCTGTCTGTGCTGTAGTTAGCTGGTTATTCTCAAAGACGGGGCTTCTGGGCCGCTCGGAAAGCCCTCGTCTGTGAAGTCCAAATTTCCCACTGAAATTCTACCTGAGTGTGAAGCTGAAGTTCCTGTATTCCAATTCCCTACAGGTGAGGACACTGGCTGGTACACGCTGTCACAGGTACTACGGAAACTCCCAGTTACGAGGTTCTCCATGAAGACAGGCATGAGACGCAGAGCACAGCCACCAGGCTCCAGCACGAGGCGGAGGTCTTGGCGTCAGCGGCCGGTAAGGCACAGACCCAGGCAGTTGGCAGGTGACAGAGGAGACACTCCGCCTCCATGCCTCCATCCTCACCTGGCCGGGCAGCCTGGCAACAACACTGCCTGCCCCTCCTCTCCTGCCCCAGTCCACTCCTCTGTGACATGTCGCCCCTGTCTCCCTGTAAGGTACGCCCACAGCTGAGCCATCACCACACTCCCCCGTGACCTGCCGAGGTGCTAAATTCGCTAGGAATGGCCCCGACACAAACCTTCACGTTCAGTTGTGGCTGACACCAGGCATGGCATGCTGGCTACAGGACTCCGCAGAAAATAGCACTGGGGTTCGAACTGTGAGCTGAAAAACTCCCTGAACTAACTAAGGCTTTTGTAAATACAATGCCATGAAGCCTTCGTTGATAAAGGACTTCCAGCTCCAGCACACTGAAGTTTTAAATATAGGATTCCAACCCTGGCTTAACACCAGCCCTCTACGGGGCCAGGGCAAATGATCTCACTGTGGGGCCTCCATTGCCCCCCTGTAATTTTCACAGGAAAATATTAACAATCTAAAAGTGAGGGTTCAGGAGGGACTCAGGAAAAAAAAACTTACCAGATAAAAGAATGCAAAGAAACAAGGCAAACAGGTTCGGGAACAGTGTACCATTCCACAGTAAAAACTGAGTAGGGGAAAAGGAGGTGCCAGTCACGTGTACATATAAGACTTCAAAAGAGAAAAAGCCAGGACGGAAATCGAAGGTGCAGCACGATGTCCTGTTCCTTGCTAAAGACGAACATGCTAACATCCTTGACTTGGTTACCACGCCACGCACACATGCTCGGAAAACCATAAAATGCCTCACAGAGATGGACAACAACTAAACATAAATAAACTATAAAGTAACTTTAAACCATTTTGAAAGTGATCATTCACTAAATGTTAACTTCCTCGTGCCAAACACGCCACTTTTCTATCTCAGTACATCTGGGGCATCAAAGATGCCGCAGATCTGGAAAGGAGGGGACGTGAGATGCTCGGTACCCCACTCTGAGCCTGTGTCGCCGTCTGAGGAGGACACGCGAGGTGCGGGACAGAATGGATGCGGTGAACACGATGAAGCTACAGGAGCGGCAGCGACTGCCCAGACGAGTAAGAGGTCAGCCTGGCGAAAGCCACGGCCACCCCAGGCCCCAAGGAGAAAGGGGGGTGGCGTGTTGCCAAACCAGCATCCGGTACCCAGGACTGGAGTTTCCTAGAGGGAGCTGCAAACCAGACAGGCCTGATGGGCAGGGCGGCAGAAGAGGCACTTCCAGAGCCACCCTCACCCTCCTGGGGAAGGCCCTGGTTCTCTCTCCTCCTGTCCTCTAACTCCTGCAGGGTCCTCCCATGGGCTGACCCCACCACAAACCGCTAACACAGGCACCGGGGGGGAGCCTGCGGGGCTCAGCTCCTCATAATGCCAGGCAGAGGCAGCAGCCAGGAGTGGATGTGAGGGCAAAGGGGCCCAGGAGGAGCCCACGTCGGCTGGCAGGAACACGGCTGACGAGGAGAAACCCCCAGGCGGGGTCGGCACTGACTCAAGGACACACACTCGTGTGGGCTTTTCCTGGTCCATTAGGTCGCTGCTATCCAGCTCTCCTGCCCCATCTAGGAATAATTAGCTAAGTAATGTTTAGAAAAGAAAGGTGAATGGATATATTCATGAATGTCTCTTCTGTAAAGACAAAGATCGAATGTGGGGACACATCCAGGACAGTCACCTCCGACCTGTGTGACACTCCTGGGGTCGCGCCAGCTAGCGATGGGAGGGCCGAGCTCGTCTACATAAAGCAGGTGTCACATCCCCACCAGGCCAGACGCGGCTCTCTACAGGGTAGGTCTCCACCTGCTCAGGCTTCCCACACCAATGTCTACACACCCCACACTCACTGAACATACTAGATTACACGAGGCCTGCTTTGTACGACAGAAACTTCCGAGAGGTTTTTCCACAGAGAAGACTGGTACATACGCACATGATCATCAAACCTACGTGAAGATACTCGCAGTCAAACCACCTTCGAATACCTTGCAACTCCAGAAAATAAAAGCCAGAGAACAAGTCAACTACCCCAGTATTCTCACTTCACAAAGTTCTAACACAGAATTAAAGAGAGGAAAACTAAAAATCGACAAGACAGATAAATCCAAGCAAATACGCACACACAATAAAATTGCACACATACCTTTTTTCAGTCGGGGCTTCTGAGGTTCACCAGAGGCAGGAAATTGATTTCTCTGAAATGAAAAAAGTGGCATATGTTAAAGCCCAACCACACACCTCGCTCACCTTCTCCAAACAGATCAAGTGCCAGACCATGGAACACAGGCTCTGTGAGCCTTCCCACAGGAGAACGCCCAAGGTTCTAGCTGTTGGTTTCTGTTTTTGAAGAATGCTTTATTTAATTTTATTTATTATTATTACTTTTCAACTTGACCAGAGAGAGAGAGAAAGGGAAAGCAAGAAAGTAAGCCACCAGGTCCGGACTCAAACTGTAGTCAGCCATGTGGGAGTCCAATGCCTTAACCATTACGCCACCTGCCAGCCCCCAGGTCTGTTGTTTTTCATTTTGCCAGAGGCCACGTATACTCACCAGAAAGAAAGGGAGAGAGAGAAGATACCCCAAGTGGGGCATGACCATGCCATAATCCCATCTCCATTTCTCCATCCTATTGGGATCTGGGGCAAGTACACATGCACACCCAGCAGTCTCAAGCCAGTGGGCCGGGATTCAAACTGTCTGGTCGGCCATGTAGGCTCTGGCGGCCTTACCCACTAGACGTAAGGCCGGCCCAATGATCTGATTCTCAACGCATGCGGTGGGAACACGAGTTTCCAGTGTAGTCAGGTACACATGATGTCGCATCAGCCTCAGACAGGCCATACACGTGACGATGGCCCCACAAGGTTATGCCATCTAGGCCCAGCCATGGTGGTGCAGACGGCAGGGCACTGACACAAGGCTGGACCCTGGAGCCCTGGATTTGGCTGTGGACCACCCTCAACAGGCCTGCACCTGACACAAGGCTGGACCCTGGAGCCCTGGATTCGGCTGTGGACCACCCTCAGCTGGCCTGCACGGGGCATGTGCCTGTAGTCCTAGCTAACTGGGAGGCTGGGGAAGAGGGTCAGTACACAGAGAACCTGTCAAAAGTACCTCTCTCAGGGCCAGCATGTGGCACAGTAATTAAGTGCTGGACTCCCACAAGTTTGGCTGCGGTTCAAGCCCCGACCCCACAGACTGAAAATCACTCTAGGCTATGTGCCCAAAAACCCAAGAGGAAAATGCTGGAGAAGGGATTGCAGCGTTGTGGAGTGGGGGTCCTACCTGGGAAGGTAGGGGGAGAGTCTGCTTCCCCACTATCTAACACAGGGGCCCTATGGCAAATACCTTAAAAAAATAAAATAAAATCTTGAACCAGCAGGTGGCATGTTGGTTTGAGTGCTGGACTCCCACAAGCCTGACAGCGATAGAAGTCTCAGAACCGGCAGCTTGCTTTCCCTCCCTCCGCCCCCCTCTCTCTCTGGTCAAATTTTAAAAAATAATAATGATAAATAAAATTAAACAATTCTTTAAACATTTCTACATAGCTAAACACCCACATGGCCAACCACGGCTCCAGTCCTGGACCTGCGGCTTGCTTTTTCGCTTTCCCTTTCTCTCTCCTTCGGTGTCGCTGTTCAAATTTTAAAAAATAAATAATAACAAACAAAATTAAATAATTTTTAATTTTTTTATCTTAACAAAAATCTTCGCTTTGGTTGCGATTAGACTGTAACAACGTGATTCCTGTGCAAATGAAGAGAACCGAAACCAACAACAGCCCTGCGGATGAACACTAGCTGCGTTCCTTAACTGCCAACGCTAAGCTGGGAACCGGTGAGCGAGGCAGCCGCGTTACGTCCACGGCAATTGACGCCCTCCCAGCACACCCGCGGACCCCGCCGCCCGGCACCGCCGCTCCACCTGAGACTCGTCCGGGTCCGGCCCAACTCCCACGCAGGCCTCGCCGAGCGGCTGGCCCCGGGCGGCCCGGGGGGGGGGGG